TCGATATCACTGTTTTATTTCGGCCTGTTCGTTCGCGTCGCCGTTCTCTCCCGCTTTTGCGACGCCGTCCTTTTTACTCCCGGCCGAGTACGCCGACCGGCCGACCGGCGCGCAACCCTTTCACTCTCGCCGCGCTCTCCCGTGCCCGCTCGTGCAGATTTGATGACCCTCCCGGCCGCGATTTGACGATGATTCAATTGTCCATGGCCAAGTGAAATAAAGCGCCTGCAAGTCGAGCTTGTTCACCGCACCAGCCTCTCATTCAGCATAGCGAACGCGGCCGTACTGTTGGTTCAATCTACCGACGCGTTTGGAACGGCCGTGTGCCGTTGGTTCAATCTCGACAAATATGAAGAATTCGCGCGCGGAATTTTGCTTAATTAAAGCCTGTGCCTCGTGGACTGTTTCAATGTAAAACAGCGAGATATTTGGTTAATTAATCTTGATGAAAGTGCATTGAGGTGTGCGCGCACTCGTCGCGTAGAGCGTATGGAGCGTAACAAATTGAACAGAAAAGTCTGATGCCGTCAGTACTTTTAAGATATTAATTAGAAAAAATTAACGAGAATAGTTGCACGTGATACGATGGAAAGCGGCACACATGCATGTATTGTGCCAAACAGTCTGCGCATCAGCAATTTTTCTCTATCATCTATTCTTTGTACAGTTCAGTGAAACAAGTACAACAAAAATTCCCAATGTGTCAATTTGAACTCGATCGATAAAATACAGCCAGACGAGAGATAAAGTTCCCTTTATCGCTGTCCTTCTTTCCCATTCAGCGCTTTATATTCTTCAGGAACATGAAAGTGACGCTTCGCGTAGCAAACCCAATCCAAGGTTTCTCAATAGCCCTTAACGTAGATCGACACGCATTTTACCGAAAGCACGAAAATAGATAGCTTCCGTGTCCACGGGACTGCGCTAATTGATCCTTATTCCACAGAAGAACGACTACCCGCCCAGCGGGAGCGCGGTGATTTCCCCTTTCCAGCGGTTTTTGTTTCAAGTCGCTGCGACGTCTGGAAGCGTCTATCGGCATTTGTATCGATCCGCGCACTCTCGATCGGCCCGGCGCGCGGCGCTACCGCTTCAGGTAGGTCAAGTACGGAGCGGATCGCGGCGCGGCGCGGCGCGGGGGTGCGTAAAGCGCCCGCGTGCCGCAGATGGCATTTCCGGGGAGCCACCTTGCGCTGTAAGTACGTGACGGCACGCAGCGCGAGCGCGGCCTTGTCCCCCACTCCGCGGCCCAGGCGAGGTCGCCCCGAGCACGTGGTCGCGGCGGCCATGTGAGATCGTCCCTCTCGCTCGGAAAAGGACAGAACGAAAACAAAACAGCGCGCCAGCGCGGGAGCAAGTGTCACACGCTCGCCTCGGCGCTGACGCCTGCTTTAAACGGCTGTAACTCGCTGATAAATCGATGTAGCGGCGTGAAACAAAAAGCACGCTCTTTGGCACGCCCTCCCGCACGTGTTGATATTGTTTTTTCTATCGGCGACTTGACGGAGCCGAGCGTGGTGGTCGATTAAAGCGCCGTGAACACGCTCGACACACGAGCAACACGAGCGGCCTTTATCGCTCGAGATTTTTGCTCGGGTTCCTTTCCTCGCCCGATCTATCGGCGAGATTAATGTTATTATTATTAATCAAAATAAAGGAACAATCGATATCATATATTGTTGAGCGTTGTACAGATTTTTCATGTGTGACGTCTCTGCTGCGAAAATATTAATCGAAGGAAACTGGCGGAGAAACTTATTCCATCATATCGCGCGCAATTCCTCGTCAATTCTTCTCGTCACCTTGATAGTGAACTAACGAGACGCGAAACGTCGAAACCGCGAAGAATAGAAAAGAATCGACACCTGACGACGGAATTCGTCGTGAGCCGAAGAAAAGAAAAAAAAAAAATGCGAGAAAATTAGTCGGCACTTTCCGGCGACAAGCGCGTCTCTCTCTCTCTCTCTCTCTCTCTCTCTCTCTCGCGGTGGTTCTCCGCTCGCCGGTAGTTCTCGCCGATAAGTCGATAAATCGTGGAGTGGCCCGCGCGGCCAATTTAATTAATAATTATCGACTGGAGGAGGAGCGCCTTGCACAATGGCGATACTTCCTTCTGGCGTAATCCTCCGAAGATTAACGAGCCCGTACCAGAAGGGACCGCTCTCCAGCGCCTCCTGTCGCCCCGAGACCCCCTTCGCCGTCCTTCCTACGCTATATCGTCCTCTCTTATAGCCGCAAGACGCCATGGCGCGCCTTGCGGTGGTTGCGGCAAGAACCCTCGCCGTACCCGCATTAACGCAATTATGAATTTGTCGCGTTGGGATCTGACAATACAAGATGTCGCAGCCGCACCCCCGCCGCGCACCTTCCCCCGCCTAGCCGGAGCCGCCGCCTCGAGACCCTTAGCCTGGCTTTCCTCGTTTACACTAAAACCGATTTTGCGGACTATATATGGATCGGGAGGACGTGACGTAAATGCAATTTTGCCGGGCCACGTGGACGACGGTAGCGCGGCGGCAACGTTAGAACGGCAGTTATCGTTAGCGCGCGCTCGCGTTGACGGATCGTCCTTGGCGAGGGACGACAGATCGATCGCGAGTCGCAGTCCTCGAAACGACTGCTCGCAGGACTGCTGAGAGCTGGAAATCGGACAACGGCCGCTGCGAAATGACGATTCGTTGCTCCGGCGATTCCGAGAGAGACAGAGAGAGACAGAGAGAGAGAGAGAGAGAGAGAGAGAGAGAGAGAGAGAGAGGGAGGAAGAGAAAGAGAGAGGCTTCCCTCCGTCGCCACTTATCGCGGCGCGCCGACGGCCTGAGAAATATTCAGCGGCGCTTCACCCTGTCGCTCGTTTTCTCCCTCGCGAATCAATATCCAATGTATTCCATGCGTCCGCCTTGTTAGCCGTGCCGTTCGTTTTGCGGCGCGGCAAGCGAGTGTAGTTTCGGCGGCCCTAAGTTAGTTTCGAACGGTCCCGTAGCAATAGCAGTAGCAGCTATGGCCTCCTCCTCTCTCTCTCTCTCTCTCTCTCTCTCTCTCTCTCTCTCTCTCTCTCTCTCTCCTCTTCCTCTCTCTGGCTCTCTCCGGTATCGTGCGGTAGCGTACGACGGGTGGGACGAGAGGATCGTTGCGGCTCGCCGCAGGCGACTGCTGCGACCTGCTCTCCTCAGCGACAAATTCCTCCTCCTGGCCTCGACCGCTCTTCGCCAACGCTTCCTCCCTTCGCTCCTGCGCGCGCGTTCCTCTCCTCTCCTCTCCTATCCTCCGCTCCCGCCCGGAATTGCGTTTCTCTCGACTTCGCTCCGCGCGAAACTTAGGCCGCGCGCAAGAAAATCAATCGGCAAGGTCCGACGACTGGCCTGCTCTCGCAGCGGCCCGGACCCTGTCGCGGAGGAGAGGATCGTCGGAGAGGGCACCGGGGATGCCGGCGATTCTAAACATCAAGGAGGACTCGGGACTGCCTAGTCAGCCCTTCATATCGTGAGAGCCGGATCCGCGCAAACAAGCCCGGCAGAAGCCGGCGAAGGCTCCGGTTAAGCGCCGGTCAGCCATCCGCCGATGGCGGTTCGACTGGCTGTGTGTTGGCCCTATTATCGTTAACTAATAAAGGGCCTAATTGAAACGCCGGGCTTTTGTTTCCAGCACTCGAGCGCCGCTCGTCTTTCCAAAGGCCTTGCGCTGGCTAAGCCAGCCGTTTGACCGGCTCGCTCGTTCGCCCTCTCTCTCTCTCTCTCTCTCTCGCTCTCGCTCCCTCGCTCTCCTTCTCTCGAGACTCCAACGCGGCTCGGAATTCACAGGGCAAAGTGGATTCGCGAAGATCGATCGGATTATTGCGAACACAGGAGGCGTTTTATTTTAGGACTCTCGCGTGCGCCAAATACGTGTCTCATGTCTCGTCTCCTTTCCGTCTTCTGTTTGAAACTGCAAAGTCCTTTAGAGGGCCGCGTTCGGATATATGATAGTTCGCGGGCTAGGGTCGAATCGAAGACGGCTGATGTCGTGATTAAACGCGAAAAGAAGCCCTCGCTGAGCTCCGTCACAACACGGCCGGGAAAGGAAGCCGCGTCGACGGTAATCCAGCCATAATTCACGGACGAAAGCGATCGAGATCGCTTATAATCGCGTCGCTTATAGCACAGCCGCGGCGCTGCTCGCTCGTTTGCAACTATTTTCTGCAAAGGGGAAAGAAGAAAGTTTGATCGCGGTAAACGGCGCTATCACGAGAGGAAGAGAGAGGGAGGAGAGAAAAGAGAGAGAGAGAGAGAGAGAGAGATCAACTTCGACGCGATTTCTCCTCCGGTCGAGAGACATCGTCGTCCGACACGACGCGGCGTCCCTAAATTCCGCGCGTGTCGTGTCCGCGTTGGAAGCGCGACGTTATTCTTCGGATACGCAATCGCGTCAGTTCTCCAAGTCGTTCAATTATTCACAGTTGTCCCCCGTCGGTGAAGCCGCGCAGGGTAAAAGTACTTTAAGTACGGGCGAGTAGCGACGACGATCATCGTCATTATCCTCGAGATCGAGCGCCATGAAAATTGTGAAACACAGAAAGCCTCGGAAAATTGCCGCTCATTGATGAGCCGCGCGCGGCTCTAACACGGAGCTTCGAGTTCGCCAACTTTTCCGTTTCTTTCCTTTTCTCTTCGACAAAAGAACATCGATCTCTCGATGTGGAGATTTTCAGATCGTGCAGATGCAGATTGCATAATTTCCCCTCTGCGTCGGGTTCTCTCGCGAGCAAAGAAAACGGGTCGTTAGGACGCCAGGTGATCAGATCCCGCGCGCATCATGACGTTTCGCGACAGCGGTGAGGAAACGAGCGGGATCATTCGGTCGCAGAACGCGTCGAGTCCCGCTGCGCGCGATAAATCATCCTCCTTCTTGACGAAAAAATGGAAGAGGGAGGGAGAAGGAGAGACGGAGAGAGAAAGAGAGAGAGAGAGAGAGAGAGAGAGAGAGAGCAGCTCGCGTGCTGCAAAAATAATAAGGTAAAAACTCACCTTGCTGGCGTGCGGTTGGACTGACTGTTCGTGAGAGAGACTGCTGCAAATCGGCCGAGAAGGCAGCCTGCCGTGTTTTGCTCAGATATAACTGCAAAAGGAAATGAATTACGCGAAATTATTCCTCCGACGTCAATTCTAATTTAAGAGCGAAGCATTTCTTTAATTGCTCGTACTACATTAAGAAAGAGTTCCCGTAATGCGGGACGACAGACGTGTCGTGACCGAATCGAGCGCCGCGTTATCGTGCGCCCATTTCGGGCATCGCGAGACGCGAAAGTACGAACTGAGCGACTTTGAGCCCGCGAGTAGCGAGCGACCGAGTCCGAATCAATTATTTTGATCGCCGCTGCAACCAAGTGCCTCGCAACGGAAGCGTCACGTCGCGGTGGGATCGATACAACGCGGCGCTCGAGAGGGCGTATATTTAACGTTAATATCCGACTCGAACTCGACGGCACGACGTCGGCATTACCTCGCCTTTCGAGAGAGACCAGAATCATCGGAAATAACACCACGATTGTACTCGAAACCGAAGCTTCAGCCCGAGCTCTCCATCGCTCTGTCCATCCGTGACGCAACTAACAGAGAAAGAATCGACGCGCACGGAATCGTCGAGACGAGAAACGCCGAGCGCGTTTTCGCGAGCCGAAACTGACGAGCCCGAGCTCGTCTCGCTCGTCTCGGCAAGGACTGCGGATATCGCCGGCAGATCGGAGAGAGCTTTGGCATCCCGATCACGCGCTAAGGGCGGGCCATCCCCTTTAATATTAGGACCAAATCGGACCGACTCGCTTCGGTATAAAATAAAGGGCTGACATGCGAGCACGGCGGGAGAGCCTAGTCGAGCCGAGCCGAGCCAAGCCAAGCCAAGCCAAGCCGAGTCGAGCCGAGCCGAGGGAGCAGCCGGAGCGAGAGAGGGTGCCTCGCCAGAGAGGAACGGAGAAAGGCGCGGAAGACAGGCAGGGAAGGGTGGCTTCACCACCGCGGTGAGGGATGACTGAGCGAGTCGGTTAAACGGGCGTCTTCTTTCATAAATTTGGAGGGCGCCCCCGGATAAAGGTTTAGAATAAATCGTTCGGCCTGTTATCCACTCCGACGTCGGCGGATAACGGCAGACGAGAGAGAGCGACCCCGGATGGCTCAACAATCCCTCCTCCGTGCGCCTCCCGCATCATCACACGTTGTGTACCGCGCTTGGAGAGGCGCGCGCCTTCCGTCCTCCTCCGCGAAACTCGGAATTTTATCAGCAGGTGCAACGCGTCGCGTTTATCCGCAATCTACCAACGTCCGTCGAACGTCTCTCCTCTCGCGCCGCCGTGTTGCGTATCTTGATTGGGGAGTTTACTCGGAAAAGAGACACGGTTTCTTCGGCACAATTTCCTTGTCCCGTCGATATCGAAAGCAGCCTCGAAACGGACCGCTCGATATACGACTGAGAAGCAGCGCGGGCGACGGAGATATCTCTCGAGCGTTTCGCAAGGCGCCCTGTAACTCACTCCGGTCCGCCCGACTAAAACGTCGAGCGCAATATGAAAGTTCAGGCCGAGTCGAGCGCTCATAAATACATCCTCGAAGATCGCACAAATCGCTCGTTCGAGGCCAATCCCCTTCGACGTCTCCTGCGAGAGATACGACGGGGAACCCTTCGCCTCGCGCTGAAATACGCGCGGCGATACTACGCGAGTATATGCGAGGCAACATGCATGCAAGCGCGCGACCTACTCAACGGAGGAGGGGGGGCGGGGTCCGAGCTGCGAAAGAAGGAGGAAAAGACGACGGGCTTGAGGGGTAGAATAAACGGGACGCGGAGGACGAGAGGAACGAAGAGAGAGAGAGAGAGAGAGAGAGAGAGAGAGAGAGAGAGAGACGGAGAAAGGCCAAAGCAGGCAGAAAGCCAGTCCAATTTCTCAAACCTGTCCAATCTGTGTCGTATGCAAAATCAATCACGCTCCACCCCGCCGCACCGCCCCCGGCCCGGCAGCCCTCGGGGGCCCCACGATTTTCAAATCCAGCCGTAGCCACGCGGTAATCCGGCTCTCGAGGCGAAACTTCTCTCGGCGATCCGAGTCGTGCTATCGAAGCATCTTCTTCGATCTATTCCGCGCGAGCGTCGCGTCGCGTCGCGTCATGCGCGCTCCACGAACGTGGATTTATGGACGCGCTTCTCACGTTCGCAATGGAGGTGGTGAGCGATCGCAAGAAGACGAAGAGGGAAAAAGGGAGAAAGTAGGAGCGAGCTCCTTCCGCGCGATGAGCGTTCGAGAAAATTAATTTGTCAATTTTATGTCCTTTTGACAGAAGGCAGCGCGGCTGCGCGATATACCGTCATCGTCAAGCGAAGAGTCAACAGCGTCGATTAATTTTCAAAGACTATCCGAGCGATAATGAGTCGCTTGCTGATACAACAATGTTGATACGCGGAGCCTGATCGCGACGTCGTCACAGAGAGGATCGCAGGATCAACGAGATGCGCGCCGACGAAAGAACGGCGGGCCTTTGTAGCTTGCACCGAGACGCAGTCGTGGCGCCGGGCCGGCGCGGCAAACTTTATATTGAACCTTTGAATCATGGTAATAATATCGTGGGGCCGTGTGCTCAAAAGGCGAGAGCCGCGACGCGCGCGCGCGCGGAGAAAGACATTTTAAAAAGTAAAATTCAGAAAGTCATTAGGAACTATCGGCGTATCGGACGTTTGTCTCGGCGCGGCTCGGCCGGGCCATTGATATGCATTACCTTCGATCGGCAGCCGCGATCATTAAAGGCACCTAAGGGCGCTCTATAAGGCCGGTTTCAAGGCCGGCCGACCGCCTCGAAAAAGTAATTTGTCCTTTGGGGCGCGAACTTCAAAGGTGCTCACGGGACATTCGTTGCTACAACAAGCGCCGTTCTACTTGCGCCCCTCTCTACTTGGCCTCGCTGATCAGACTTGCTGATTTTTGCCGTCGCAACGTCGGCGCTGGACCTTGTCCACCGGCGCCCGTCAAGGGCCCCGGCTGCCGAAGCTCTCTCAGCCCCCGAGAAAACGAGAAGGAGAGAAGCGAGAGGGCGCGCCACGAGGGGTGCGAAGAGTTTAGCATACGCATTTTGTACATTGAAATCCCGACACGTTCGTGCAACTTTAAATTGAAACCCGCCCGATACGCGCGTCACCTCCCCCGCTGCGCCGTCGATAGTCGTCTCGCAAAATCACGCCGAGGAGCTAAGCCGTCGGCAGCTCGCGCGTGTGAAAAGGCGCGATCTCTGCGAATCTCAGAAAGAATCCCGGAGGCTCGCTCGAGAAAATGAAAGAGTAAGAGCATGCATGTGCGTGTATGTAAATTTCCAGAAAGACGACAGAATCTACGGCGAAGAGAGCAAAATATTTACGAGAGGACGGGATCGGGAAAGGATGAAAAGGGAGAGAGAGAGAGAGAGAGAGAGAGAGAGAGAGAGAGAGGAAGAAAAGGAAGAGATGGAGAGAGGACTATGACGCGCCCGATGACGTCTTATCGACTGGCGCAAGATTTCCATAAAACGGTTACGGCTTGTTTATGCACACTCAGGTCGCGGAAGCGGTTATGTCGTCACGACGAGGGAATACGGCGCCGCGCTCGCACCGTTACTCTCGAGCGACACCTTGTGTTATTCAATTCGCCGGCGGTGATTACCGATGTAATAACGCGAAATAATCGACTGCGCGCGATCCTCTGGCCGCGCGACATTACGCGGAGGGGCGTGAAAGAAGAGGGAGGGAGGGAGGGAAACTGGGCATTTTTAATTAAATAATACTAATCACAGAGGGCAGACCCTCCCGCGCGCAGGCAAATCTCATCTCGTTCTTTCCCTGGACCGTCCCTCCTTCGCACGCGAGCTCCTTTTCCGTCTTCCTCTCTCGCTCTCCGCGCCGCGCCGCGCCGCGCCGCGCGCTCTTCCTCTCCTTCGGTCCCGCGAATCGTCTCTCTTTTAGACTTCGAATTGTAATTAACATTTGGTTCTCCCATTAGTGTAATTAAAGTGCCATTCCATAATCTAGGAGGCCGAGAGAAGAGAAGAGGGGCACCTTATCTTTCAGACTTCAGCCCCGGCTGCGGGGGTCGTTTTAACCCCCGCTGGGCGCCTCCAGCCCCTTTCCGGGTCTACACCAAGCGTCGGTTGCCCGTAGCTTCCTTCGGTGATAACTCCTTTCCGCGAGAGATCTCTCTCCCCGCCGGCGCCGGGAGCGTGGGAGCAGGAGGGAGAGAGACGCGGCGGGGAAAAGAAAAACGGTGATTAAAACGTTCGGCAATCCGATATCGTATCTCGGCGCGCAGCAGAGTCGCGGGGTCGCTATTCGGGGACGCGCGCGTACGCGCAAACCGATCTCGGCGCGATTTCCGTTTCCTTAAAGGAACGAGCTCAAATGCCGCTCGCGTCGAAGCCTTAAAGTTGATAGCTAAGGTCTGCCTGCTCGCCCGAAGCGAGAACGGAGATTCTCTCTCTCTCTCTCTCTCTCTCTCTCACTCTCTCTCTCACTCTCTCTCTCTCTCTCTCTCTCTCTCTCTCGGCGAGAGAACGGAATCTGGAGATTTTTCAAATTCGAGAAAATACGCGGACGCATGCGACCCCGACCACTGTTCTCGTCGATCACTCGATGAAGATAACGGGAGGAGGAGGAGGAGGAGGAGGAGGAGGAGGAGGAGGAGGAGGAGGAGGAGGAGGAGGAGGAAGAGGACAGACATTCGGGGGACACATTTCACGGAGATAATCGGCGGAAGGTGTCATCCGCAGATTGGATCCCCCGAGTCGCGCGCGAGGTCGGACAAAACGATAAAGATGAAGGGGCGAGATGGCAGGGCGCCGGCGCTGGTAAAATAAAGAAAAGCAAGGAGATAAGAAAGGGCCTGCCTACGTTGACATTTTCCGGTGGTTGAGTTAATAATGCGCGCGGTACACAAACGCCGCACCGAGCGGGGGTGGATCCACCGAGCGCCGTCGTAAAGAGGCGCGGATGTGTTTATTCGGGAATTTGCCTTTTTTCACCCGTCTCCTTCTCTCTCTCTCTCTCTCTCTCTCTCTCTCTCTCTCTCTCTCTCTCTCTCTCTCT